CTAAGCCCCCCTCCCCCGGTTCTGACGCATATGAAGTCAGTGATAAAAGATTTGATTGAAAATGATAATATAGGCTTCTCGTGATTCTAGTTCAGCTTTGAATATCTTATACTTCCATTGCATGGTTATGCATTCAAAATTGTAATAGTACTTTATCAAATGCTAAATTGTTTGCGGTCGATTTGGTCTTGACGTAAATTTTTGATTGTGGAAAATATGAATTGAGTCAAAGATATTTTAGACACATCTTATGCTGAATATTGAGCAGTGGTGATTGGTTATTTGAAGTTTCCTTGTGTTTTAAACAATAATACAATAGCATAATTCGAAAAGCTTGAAAAATTAATACTTCTGGTGTGATTTTTGTTACATTCTTTCATTTCCTAGAATATAATTAGATATAAATATTTTTAAATAGCAAGAAAAAAACTACAGCTATTTCTCTCAGGTTTTAAAGTTAAATCATTCTTGCCTAAGTACCTAACTAGAAAGTGTTAAATAAGATTCATTTGTGCAGAGTTAAAAAGATTGTTCCAATCATAATTATTTGAACATGTTTAAAATAAGGTTACAGCTAGGCACTCTTGTCAAATATTCCGGACACCAAAATAAATTGAGTCTTTTTTCTGAAATAAACAATTAACCAGCAGAAATTAAAAATTATATATATTTTCTAGAATCGTTTTTATTTTTCAAAAAAGTAATTTTTTGATTATTTATTATAAATTGATTTTGTAAAGAGGATAGAAATCGAATTTATCATTACACTCTTTTTTTTATTTTTGCCATAATGTGTCTTTTCGTTTTCCATAACGAGCCTCCATACCCGTAACCATGCAGACAGAAATAATCCTTTTATTGTTTAATTCCATAAAACCTTTTCAGTGCAAGTTGACAATTGTAACAAGCATCAATTTGTGCACGTTAATGAACAATAAGTGAGATTCAAACAGGCTTAGATACTACTGCAATCATCGGTTGCTATTTTAAAAATGCAACTTCCGTTAAAAGAAAAGTGCTCGCATTATTAGGGTAAAGTGATCTGGAGTCGGAAACGCAACGGTAGAAAATTAATTAAAATTCAAAACATGCAAGCATGACAGTTTTTGTTCATTTTAATACCCACCATGACTTGCGGTTCAAACGCCTTGCATGGTATCGGATGAAATTGAGGGTATCCACGACGGGAAATATAGCGTAATTTCACTATAATAGTGAAATACCACTATTATAGCGGAATTTACGTTTCCCCCTAACCTGTTTAAATTCCATATTAGTAAATATATTTAAGTCCTTCACTCGATTACACTTACGCTAGTTTGTCTTTCAACTTCGAACATTCCCCTGTGACCATTTAATACATGTATAAGTAATTGTGTTTAGAAATTTTCGACAGCTTAGGAAATACCTGTCATTCCACAAATGAGAACAATTCAGACATTAGCATTTGCACTTTGAAAACATCGTCGACTTTTGTAAACTTCCAAACCAGCCTTCTTCAACGAATAAACATCCGCTCTTATTTTTTGCGGACAGCACTTCATGCAATTTCTAAAAAGAAAGGTTTATATACATGCTCTGAAATTGCTGTTAAACAATAAGCAAGCTGTGTTTACTTCGGTCTCTGAATTTGTTCACAAATATACATTAATTTCTTTTTAATTACAATATGCCTTTGTTTTTATGTACCTCTTCAATCTTTGAAGAGGAAGTAAAACTTGTCTGTGTTCGGGACAAGCTACACCCTTAAGTGGCACTGACCTAACGAAGCGGTTACAGCTTGCTGTTGTTTCAGTCCATGCTTCATTTGTTGAACTTACGTCTTGAGCTCCAACTCTTCGTTAAAGCGGGCAGCTGTTGTGTCATCATGACAGGGCTCATATGGCACGTAATTATCTAGATGTACTTTTACGGAATCTTCCGTTTCCAAGTTGTGCAGCAGGTTAATTTACCATTTTAATTTATGTACCATGCTCTATGGTTTAAACTGAAAAAAAACTGATTGGTTAATTGATTGAGTTATATTCTATGTCTGAAGTCTTATTTTTTCCAGACATTTGACAAATAACTTTACTCACATGGTAAATTGTTTTAATGATAATGAAATCTTCCTTCACAGAAACTGGTATTTGAACTACAGAATTATCCAAATGAAAAAGGGAGAAGTTAACGAACATTGATCGATCGATTAAAATCCATAAACAACACAAATCTGTGAAGAATGAATAAAGTACAAGCCACTGGAAATTCCACGATTGGGATTAGGTGCCTATAGGAGGAGTAAGCATCCCCTATGTATTGGTCATGTAGACAGATCTTTCAATACTCAAATTCGGAATAAAAAAACAGGCCTAACAATTGTTATGAAATAAGTCAACCAAAATATAACACAGAGTGAAAAAAAAACAACCTTAGAATTAAAGACATACCGATTTTAAACGAGGCTGTTGAAATCTATGTAATATCGACTTATGTTTTAGTAGCCTGACTCGGTTTAAAAACTATAGAATCCAAATAAAAATCATACAATACAATTGACTGTTTAAAAATTATAGAATAAAACATTCTTTGATATAAATGTAAAATTACAAAATACAAATGGAAATTAAATTACATAACAAAAAATATACAATATGAATAAAAATATATACAACACAAATGAAAAAAAAATATCTAGTATCGCAACTTTGACATGTCTTACCTTAGAAAAACAAAATGAATTCTCATTGATTGTTCACAATACCCACATATGCATTTATAAGGTACGATGCGCCTCCCTCCAGATAAATTAAAAGAAGATGTGTTTGTGAAACATTGATGCTCATTTTAGCTGCTTATGCATGGCAAAGGTTCAAGTTTCTCAAATGCAAGTCAAACTGTAAGGTCAGGGTCAAGAAATCAGAAAGGGTGTTGCCAAAAGAAAGAAAGCATTTGGCATATATGTGTTTCATAATAAATATACCTGTGATATATGAAAGCACCAACTGTTCAAACGTTATGGCCAAGGATATTTTTTTTTAAAGTGGGTCAAACTCCAAGGTCAAAGCTGATTTTTTGGTACCGAAGGTAAGTTCTCATCACATGCAATACACGTGACATAGCACCAACTGCTCAAAGTTATGACAAAGGTTATTATTTAAGTATTTTTCTATTTAAGCCAAACTTCAAGTTCCAGGTAATAAGTCAAAATTGTTTGTATCCAAAGAAAGATCTTGTCCAAAGGATAAAAAAAAAAAACAAAAAAACAAAACCAAACCAAACAACAACAAAAAAAAAAAAACAACAACAACAAAAATAGACAATAAATGCACACATTTTCGGTATGTTTCCGTTTACCGTGTAACGTCACCGGTTTTACTTTTATCTTCGCAATACCGTTTCCCGTGAAAAGCAGACGAATTTACGGCTTTTTGAAAAAAAAATGCAATGTGTCCTCTGACCATATTTAAGAGGCAAGTATAAACTTTTATTCGTGCACTTAATGAAATGTCATGCATTCACAGTTACTGTTTCAATATTTATCCTTGTGTAATTAGTTCACTTTTTGATATACAAAAATTATAATCGAAAAGTATGATCGTTTCTTATTATAAGTTATTTAGGCCTATCTACATTAACGACAATGTACTCTAGTGTAGTATTCGATTAAAATTAATTAATTTAAAAATATTCAGATAATATAATCCAAGAAAAACTCAAAGGCATTACCATATCCAACTGCGTCTCGAGGCAAGTCCTCAAACCGGGTCCTTGGAACATCTATCTACTAGACAGACCATAAGAGGCTTTTTATAATTACTGTGTTGTATTGTACAATAGATAGAAGATTACCATGTTGAATGATTTTTTATTAAAACCTGCTTTATACTTTGCAGTGGAGGCATGTATAATATGGGGAATGGAGAGAACATGTGCGTAAGTAAAAAATCTATTTTTATCAAATTTAATAAAAAATCAAATAGCTCAAACATAGGGAAAAATACACCACAATATAAATAAAAATTAAAGGTATTGTGAAGAAACCACATTCCTTATTGATGCCTTGATACAGTATTAAGGACATGTATACATGTACGCAATGTAGTTTGAACTTTATTGTTCTTTTCCTTACAGTTAACGAGTTCCAATACAAGTAGTGCTTGTGCTACATTTTAATGTCTATATACATGTATGCTGTTGTTGTGTTGTACACTTCTTCCAAAACCAGTTTAGATAAACAGAACGTCTATAATGTGTGTTAAGTAATTTTTGTATATTTTTCTTTTTAAATTAAAAAAGAATACTTTGAAAAATTATCAAAAGGTATAGGTACGTTGCGTATGTCCTTATAAACTCTTTTACCAGCACTCATTTTTATTTGACTCATTGCAGTTATAGTGTCCACCTTATGTAAGATGCTGTGAATATGTTCATGTTGTTTGCGGTCCTTTCGAGGGGAAGGTTTTCTTTCTCCATAAGGTAACAATGAATTAACAGAAATAAAATAATAAAAGTATCTGAACAAGTATACTAGACAACTGAATGATTTTATTGCTCATAACATATAGACCTAAGCTCAAAACAATAATTGTAATTAAAAAAAAATGTCGAAAGTGTTCTTTAGCGGAGTTTGGGTATTACCTAAACAGGGACGTATATAGGGTCCCTGTATAAACATTTGCCTTAAAGTGTTAGTTTCAACTTCATTTAATTAATTGAGGTGTTGGACAAAGAAAATGAGGTCAAGAAATCAAGTTCCAATTTAATTGAGTCTTTGTCCATTCCTTCAAAAATACTGACTCTAGTTATCATATTACAGGCATTTCCAAACACAAAACTTTGTGGACAATTGACTATCGTATCTTTGTTTACAAGAATTTAAAATAAATCTCTTGGTCAGTAATAATATTGTTTTCCCGACTCAGCCACTTAACGAAGGTATTTCAATCACGAGAACACAATGTTTTGTCAATAAATCTTTGTTTATTTACTCTGTGGAGTAAAAGCTGGTATGACCTGATACAAACCAGACTTCCAGACACATTAAATAGTATTTAATTCAACGAAACTTGAATTTCACGGGCAAGTTGCGACAATATTTCTACTCCATTGCCCTTGTGAACTTATCTTTGCATGGATCACCTACTTTGTGTTCGATTCATTCAAGAAAAAGATTATAAGATATCTGAACCGTGATTTGTGGAAATTCTTCAAATATTGTCAGGAACTTTTAAAAGTCTTTGACAGTCTTTTTTACCTATGTGCTAGTGGTTACGTCATACCCTTCCACTCCCCCTAGAGTCGACTCGTCCTGAGATCACACGTGCTCTCGAAAATATTGCAGTTAACATTTGACAGTTGGTGATAGGGGTGCTACGCTATAAGCATGTGCGATTAGCACGGTGTTGTGAACAAAATACCCCGTAAGACAGATATGTTTTGTGATTAAAAAAAATATTTACCATCAGCTATCATCTTTCCAACGGACACCAACACAGATCAAGATTCGCCAAAAAATTAGAAGTGAAAAATTATTTCCTTGGATGATTTATATTAGAAGCACCGTCACCAGTGGATAAGCGGTCCAGCCTCTGAATGGTTTTTAAATCAGTCTGACTTTTTATTTGGGATCCTTTATTTTACGATGTGGTATGGGAATATATTGGGGTTGATTTTAACCCAAAGTATATTTTTACTTGCACCGGTGCGAGGACAATTTGAGTCAGGTACGTGGTAGTTTATTTCTGACCTCAGGGGGGTATATAATAAAATGGTGTGTATTCATTAGAGCATGCTGCAGTGTCATTTGTCAAAGTCATAGTTTGAAGCAAGACAAAACTTATTTTTGTTATTTACTGTAAAACAAAGCCGTTAGACAGTTGTGAGGGTGACTGTTCTTTAGACCACTCTGACCTGATGACACAAAGTGAAAGGCCTGATAAATATGACCTTGTTTCACACATATTTATCACATCCCAACAGGTAGTCCGATCATCTTCAAAGTGTATTTACATTAATTAAGTGTTCTCTGACCATCTGCGTGTTCCACTGATCTTGGCAAATATTTCCCACACTGTGTATTATCTAGCTCATTACATGTGTAAGTTTAGGACATCTATTATTCATGGAACTCGCTATTACCTGTCTAGCTGAATAATATTAAGAACAGGTAAATATTATGTAACAAAAGGGAATGTATGTTCAGACTTTCATAAAGGACTTCATGTACATAAACCAATCCAATTTGCATACCATAATACATTCGCTTTTCGCATGTTATCAGGCATGTTCTAAAGAAGGCGGCTCCTAGCGCTCAACTTGTGTGACCCTCAGCCCTGTATTCAAATTACAGCAAGCATATAGCTGTCTGGATGAATGCATTAAAAAAACCTTGTCACTGAATCCCATGTGTGTGAAAGTTGTGTAAATTTGAGTGCTTTTATTCCTTTTTGACAAGGCTTTTGTAATAAAACATGAGGACTGAAGGAAAATTTTACACATTGATTGATAATCCTGTGGAAAAGTCTGGGCATAATGATAAATTGACCAACCCCTTCTGACCAATGTGTTTCCTGCATGTGTGTAGTGCATTGTTCTCTGACACATTAACTTGTGCAAGCTCTGTTGTAAAAGCTTTGCTGAATTCCCCAGAAACATGGCCACATGGTTAAATAGAAGGGAATATCTTTTCCATCTTTTGTCCCAGCCATCTCCCCATCTTTTACCCTGTCTACAAGAAGTGTTGCAAGAATTGTAACACTGACCTCTATTCTCCCTATATACATATAAATGTATACATAAAGAGGATTAATTTATAAACGATTTGTCATTGTTCTTACCCGTTAATCTTTAAGATAAAAATCTACTCTTTGAATTTATGCAACATCTATATTAAACAAGCAAAAAGTGAATAAAAGGAAATAGAAAATACTAGACAAAATGTCAGACTTGGTGACTTTCCTAGCAATGTAACAGGTCAGAAGGATTTTCATTTACTTGGCATGTCTTCAAAATGATCAAAGAAGTCATTTGTTCATGTTTTAAAAGGAAAATTTTAAAAATGTTCATGGGCATAGTGATCAATTTAAAAAAAAATCAAAATGTTGAATGGTCATCAATTTTCCAAGGACAATAATTGGTCTATTGAAATCAGTGGTAATTTTTTGCACAGTAAGCAGTAATAGCAGTTAAAAGTGAGAAACAAGGTTTGCAGAAATAGAAAATGATGAAATAAAGAGACAATAAGGAAATGTTTTATACTGAAGTAGGATTTAAAATAACACTGAAGTTAGAATTGAAATCTTTTCTATCCATAAAGTGAGAAATGTTCAGACCTTGTGTGAATAAAAAGACATAGATTTTATTGACTCATAAATATCAGATGGAAAGATCCATCCTCGCATTTTTATGTTAATTTTAATTCATTGAAAAATTTCTGGTTACTGTCATGTAGCAGGGAATATTAAAAGGATTGTAATATTATACATAATTATTAGAACTAGTGAATTTATATGTATCAGTTTATGAATTCATATAATATCAGTGCTTTCTAAAATTCAACTTCAAACTGGGGTTTTATCAAAATGAAATTTTTAACTTGCGACCTCTGTGCATAATTTGGAGCTGGCAGACAGTTTTGAAATGATTGTTTTGATACATTTATGACTTATGTATCAGTTCATGAATACGTATATCAATGCTTTCTGAAAATTCAACTTCAAACTGGGTGTTATCAAAGTGAAATTTGTAACTTGCAACCTCTGTACATAATTTGCAGCTGGCAGACAGTTTTGAAATGATTGGTCATATGTTGATGTCTAGACTGTAAACAGCAGGCCTTGTATATAAGACATTAAGTCTGTCATATGTTATGATTATTCTGTAAAAGGTAAAGTGCTAAACTTGAGTGTGAAATGTCGGCTAATGATAGGAAGTCTCTTGTTGTCCTGCTGAGTTTTGAAATAATTACGCTGCAAATTTAGAGTTGATGTGGCCAATTATATTTGATGTAGGTCACTTCAGCCACAGTGCAGTGTCATGCACTTTAAAAGTAGATTCTCCAAAACCAATTTATAATCTGTACATATTTTGGATGAAGTTGCACCATGCAGCAATATATGTTATCATTGCATGGATATGTCTCATGTTGGTTTGAACAAATAACATCACAGGTTTCATGTGAAATGTTAACCCTACACCTTATTTGAATAAGTATATATTGATTTTATTTAAAAAAGTTTTGCTCAAGGATGAGTGACAAATTAATAGGTATTATATGGGTCGTGGGAAGCTTGAAACTTTACTTATGAGATTCTGGATATGTAATTTTGATACCATATTGCATAACAGGAGTTTGATAACATGATAAACCCACACCAGTTTTCCAGAGTCCACTTTCTTTTGAGGTTAACAAATGTTGTTTTATGGGTGGTCACATTACAGCTAGGTGACCAGATCTGGACTAAGCTTTCTCTCTCTAACAATGCTCCTAGATCATGTTACACAATCTAAATTGTATGTACCCTATTATTTACCAACATATTAAGGATGTTACCCTCTGCTAAACCCTTGCGAAGGAAATTCAGTGAAAATAAATTTGATCGATTTTTCACAGGTGAAAAAGTTGTGGTGTTTCTTATAGACAACATAAAAGAGTTCTGGATTGTAATTTCTTGGTATAGGCAATAGAAATTGATGTATGATAATATCTGTGTAGTATGTTGGTCTAGTGTGCATTGTAAGCATTGCTGAATACAAGTGTTTAGTCCTTTTTTTTTTTAGGTCAAATCTGTCCCTGCATCATTTATTGAGACATAAAATTACAATTAAATGTCTAAGTAAATGAACAGTATAGATTAACATGAACAGATGTAGTCCACATGGCATAATGTCAAAGGGATTAGGCAAATTCTAGCCAGTCAATTGTTTCAAAAACAAAGACAAACAGTTGTAAGAGAAAAAAAATTCCAGCCCAGCTTTGGAATGTAGTTTTCCCATGTTTATAATGATCATATTTATTTAAAATTATTAACAATTCAACTATTTATTTACATGAAGATGCACACCCAGTAATCCATTTTAATGTGCAGATTTGAAATATAGATAAATATAATGTAGAAAGTTAAATACCAAATTTGTGATTTAGAGTGAAGTCAACTGAATTAGAAGTAATTACTAGCCTTTCCAGAGCTTGGTTCTGCAATCTGATACACTTAATGAGCAGTCATGCAATTTATTGCCTTGATATGCACAAACAGATCTAAAAAAAAATTATCAATGAATTTTGCACAGTAGTTGCTTCTTGACTAACGTTTTTTACCTTGATCTTTGGGCATTTGTGTGTATTTTCTCTTTAGTTTAAACTTCAGTGCTTTGAATATGTTAATCTTGATATTACTTTGCAAAGAATGAGAATTAGATACAGATTTCGGTATGCAAAATACAGAACAATGGGAAAAGATACTATTAATGCCAAAGTAGATGACAATATAATTAACTAGAATTAATATGCATGTGATCTACCTTTGTCTATTGGCATTGCTAGCTAGATCGAGACACACCTTTGAATATGGTGCATTTAAACTTGTTAAAACCCTCTGGAATAATGACTTGAGATGATAGTCTTGGGGTCAGAATTTTCTAACCTTGTTAAGATTGTCCTCATCACATTCAAGATTGATTTTGTAGAACCCTGCCAGGACATTATATGAATGAACCTATAACTGTAGGTTTTTTTGGGGACATTGACTGGGAGGATCCACAGATTGCAGAACAATTTATCAGCAGGTGTTGACCTCAATTGGAATACCTATTCTACATTTAAATTCACAGAGTAAATATTTTCAATATACTGTCATATAGCTCTGAGATTGAAATCAATCTGACCTGGGAATCTGCCCAAATTTAAGTTCATTTTATTTTTATGTTGCAGTACTGAGTACATGCAATGTTTATACAAGGTTTTTTGGAAAAAGAATTAATTGATTTATTTTTTCTTGTTGCTTAGAAGTCTGTTTGAAAATGTGGAGAAGGAGGGTTTTCGTGATAAGTTGCATGTAATTTAGATAAAATCTTTTTAATTATAGAACATTCTATCTTTTCATGTTATTATATAATAAAAATGTACTATCTGAATGAACTTTAAAAAAATTAATCATTGGTACTAATCAACCTTTATATTCTCTGCTTCAGTCATGTTTGAAAATAATCATTTATGCAAATCTCTATGTAATAAATTTAACAGTGGAATTCTCAGCAGACTAATTGATTGTGCTGTTTAAAAATTACATCAGTGCTGGGGCGTCAGACAACATGTGCATATTAAGTAATCAAAATGAATTGTTTTCCAAGCACCTGTACATCTCAATTAATTCCTTGCTGTGAGAACTTCTGCAGGTTTTGAAGGGATTTTTACGTGCATTCAATGGATGCAGTGTTTGAAAAAGAGGAACTTAGAGGACCTTGAGCCGTAATATCTTTATGGGATTTTTTTTCTTGTTAATGAGCAACGATAACACTAACCACTTGAGTTTAAAATGCAATTAACTTTATTTATATAAATACATGTTGGACTTAACATATTTACTAGAGGGGTTCATTGTGCAACCCTTCAAGGCAGTCACAGGACTTTTATGATTGGTACGTAGGCCAGCAGGGACCCCCCATATCAATACATTTATCATTAAATTGGTAAAAAAAAAAATTTGCTGTTAAATTGTTCCAACCC